CTGGGACTACAGGCGCCCGCCACCTCGCCCGGCTAGTTTTTTGTATTTTTTAGTAGAGACGGGGTTTCACCGTGTCAGCCAGGATGGTCTCGATCTCCTGACCTCGTGATCCGCCTGTCTCGGCCTCCCAAAGTGCTGGGATTACAGGCTTGAGCCATAGCGCCCAGCCTAAACTTCTTTCATATTTAATGAACTGCTGAAGTTACATGTATCCTAGAGTTCCACTGTCAAAATATTTTTATTAGTGTTTATGGTTTGATATTAATTATTATTCAGTATTGGTATTTTTTTTAAATGCTATATACTCTTTTGATAAGTCAATAATGAGGAACATAAATGTAAATAAGATCTTTTCTAGGGATCTTGATAAAAGTTTTGTCATGCACCTTCACGTAATATAGTGATTCTTTTCTTTCCTGCCTTGTTCAAAGTTTATCAACAAATCACCACTTTGCAGCATGTTAGAAAGGATGAAAATTGAACAGCTGGGGGAAACATGCAAAAGAACAACCAGAGAAGCTCAAGGATATTTTATAAAAACATATTCCAGAAAAATAATCTATGTAAAATGGATCTCAGATGAGCAAACCTAAACATTTCTTAACATATACATATTTGAAGAAGACACATATACATAAAAATATTATCACAATGTATGATTCTGATGCCTTTCACTTTGCTTTTAAGATTCCTGACAACCTGGCTGATATTAAGAATCACCAGGGCCATTTGTTTTAAAAGTGGATTTCCAAGAATTATTTATATAGTTCCTGAATCTAGGACTTGGGTCTGTTACTGTTGATCAGACATATTTGGGAAAGGGTATATTAGAGGAACTGAAGTGCGATAATGATAGCACTTGCTCAAAAATTTCAAAACTGTCACCAAACAAACAAACTAACCAACAAAACACCATGATATTCTATTTCACTGAAATTGGCAATTTAAGTCCACGACTCACCTTATTGAATAAAGAACATTTCCATTTTTGAAAATTCTTAGCAATTTGTTGTCTGTAGTGACTTCATGAAAGTTGGCACCCTTTTCATTGGCAAAGAATAAATCAGGTTTCCAAATGGAGTCCAACATGGAGGGGTCGAGGTCTAAAGAGTCGTCAGGATACTCACTGTACGCGAGGCGGGGATCATTCCATTTCTGGCGAAGAAAGATATTCACTCTGTAATCCTATGATAAAAGAACAAAAGAAAGAAAAAAAAACCCTGCTTTAAAAAGTTTAGAACCCATAGTGTCAATGTGGTGCCAATGTAGGCTCATCAACTGTAGAAAATGTATCCTTCTTGGGGATGGGTTGCATAGTTAATTGAGGAGGCTATACAAGTGTTGGGACAGAGGGAGGATGGAAATCTCTGTACCTTCTTCTTAATTTTGCTGTCAACCTAGAACTTCTCTAAATAATAAAGTCTTATAAAAAAAATTTTGGATCTTATGTACTGTTCTTTGGGTTTTTCTGAATTATAACAGGAATCAATGACATTCTTGGGTACTTCCATCCCCCAGGATCCTCACTGATTACCACCTAGAAGAGTCATCCTAGTTCTGAGGTTTTGGTCATATGCCTTCAGTGACCTATATGCCTCCAAAGAAAAGACCACAATTTATCATGTTTCAAACTTGTTATTCCATTCAAATTTTACTTTCCTGCTTTGTCAGAATAAAATGCTGGAATGCTATTAATGCTATTAGACACTTAGAGAAATATATTTTCATCTTTGCATTTATTTTTAGAATAATTTCTTTTAGTAGATATCCAATAACATCCAGAATATGTTTAGTGAACTTGTCTTAAAAGCTCTCTGTGTTACAAAAATGACCATATACACTTCTTCACAATGAAAGCACATTTTCTCATGTTTAACATAGCATGTAAGTTCTCTGAAATAAGTAATTTAAGAAAAATAAAGCTGATTTTAGAATAATGAAAGAATAATAAAGGACAATTACTGTCAATAATACTTCAAGAAAATTTGGCTAATGAGATTTCCCAATTAGATCTTTCATAGTTAATTTTAAAAGGAGTCAATGATTTCAACCAAATTCTTGCTCACAATTTTGGACTAATGTGTAGAATGACAAATGTTGACAGCTGAGTATATGTGTAGTGTTTGTATAACACAGTATATAAAAATAAGTACCACATATGTCTTTATAAATACTTTTTTCTAGATTTTTGAAATGAGCCAATAAAATAAATATAGATCTCATTGTAAGCATGATCAAAGCAAACATTTGAAGACCACTGCATTTGCATGCAAAATAGTCAAGGCTGAAGATACTCATAAGAACTGAAAGTCAGTTTTCATCTATTTTTCTATTTCTTGAATACCAAATTATGAGACATCAGAATGTAGTAACCAGGCAATCACAACAAATGCTTTAATGATATCAGAGCAGGTAGATTGCTTATGTTATTGGTAGGTCAAAGTCAGAGTTTGTACTGAATGTTACACATCTGTACACCTTGATCAATATTTGTGCCCTGAGACTATCTTCTAACTGCAACTAAGGTTACATACCAGAAAATATTTTTTTCTGCTTGCTGGCTGCCCTAGGTATCTTCCAAAGTGATAATGGAGCAGAGTTCACTTCAACTTTTTACCAGAAAGCTAATGATATTGTGGAAATCTCACCCGCCACAAGGATCTACAGAACCTGTAAATGGGGATATGCGAACAAGCTTCTACCAGCCTAGAACAGGTCATCTTCTCTTAGCCTGTAGTCCAGGGCACCAGGAAGCACAGCTCCATGGTTGGTGGCCAGTTC